TCATTCATATATCTTGTACTGTTTCCAGGAATTTGCAGTGGAAAGCTGTCACATTTATACACAAGTAAGAAATAAGTCCTGAGTCTATAGTTGAGCAGCAGCTGAGATGTTCAGATCCAGGGCTTCTTCTTGAAATTCAGTTTTTAAATTAAATATAATTTAAATTCTACATTTTAAAGATCTGACAGGTGTGTTAGCTTCCACCACTGAAGAGTAAATTAAAAAAAATAAAAGGATAAAAAGTATAAAAAATAAAAAAAAATCTTCTGTGGTAAAAAATACAGTATTCCCAAATGATTAAAGCACCACGTCTGTATCCAGTATCTCATGCTTTTGTATTGTTAATACTCTTTGCGAATGGCTTCTGCAATTTCTCGTGCCTGTAAAAAACAAAACAAAATTTCTAAAATGCATCACTGTTCCAGAACAGAAAGGCCAATGTAGCAGGCCACATTCCTACATTGTCTTTACAGCATAACTTCTTTAACACTGTCTAACAATAATTAATGCATCTCAAAGAGGTGAATTGTCGGCATAAAAAAGTTATATGGATGGCGAATTCCAGAAGCAGCACTTATGAGAAAGACAAGGGGTAAGAAGTGCTGCAGGAGCTGACAGACACTAATAATGCAGGAGCCCTTCTGGACAGATTCAAGTGCACTCAGGGTAGGCGACTGTGATGTCCTTGGGGACAGAACTCCAGAGCGCCGTCCCACGCACTCCGACCGAGAGCAGGCCGTGAACACCTGCTGCACTGAGGCTGTGCGGGAATCCGTCACTTGTCGCCATGCCTTGTTTCAGAAGAAACCATTTCAGAACCCAGAAAGTCTGAAATCGGCTCTTTCTCGCCCCCGCCGGGGAGAAGGAAACCGCGCGGCTCGGAACTCGACACCGCAGGCTCCACGCCGCCCCACCGCGCCGGCAGCTGGCAGCTGGCCTGGTTAACTGACCTTCTTTCAGTACGGCACACTCTTCGCTTCTGGAGTGACTTCCTCTTCCTGAGGAGGAGAGCAGGAGGATGAGCACGTGAGCGCCCGGTGGGTCGATCCACACAACGCCTCGAACCCCACAACACACTGCCACGGAGACTCCAAAGCCAGCCTCTTTGACTTGACCGCCGTGCACTTGCTCGCGGTACGTTTCTGCATTAGAGCCAGCGCAGGGCGGCACAGCGGCGCAGTGGTCAGCATCGCTGCCTCGCGGCGCTGGGGCTCGGGGCTCAGCTCCAGACCTGGGGTGCTGTCTGTGTGGAGTTTGTACGTTC